TTACATGAATGAAAAAATGGAGAGCGCTAGTGAACGAGGAAAAATCTACCCATTAACTTCACTAATATTTTTCCATTTTCTATATAAAAAAAAATTTTAACAATTATGGATGCATTGTGAGCGTATGAGTATGTCTTTGTACCAAAAAATGTGGTACTTAAAAAACAGCTTACTTAACAAAACTTAACGAAAATTTCATGAATAATGTGTATTTAAAATATAACGAATTTCAAATCGGAATAAAGTGGTTTAAAAGATTACTTAAATCGAATTTATAGAAATTTTCCATGTTTGGATCTATAAAACTTTTAAATTGAATTTTTGAACAGTTTGACGAAAAAATTGAAGAAAAAAGATATGATTTTAGATACTTAAACTTCAGTTAACAGAAACTATTGACATTAGCTTTGATAATTTTTAATTTTTTTCCAATAGTTATAACATAGTAAGTTACGAGTCAGTAATACTGCAGTGTTTTACTTTACTTATTGTGCTAGTGTGACTTTTATGAAGCGAAAATTATGATAACTTGTGCACATCGCCGACGGTATGAAGCTAAAAGCATAAGTTTGTGTAATATAAACAATTATTGTTTTTTAAAAACGCAATTTTGTAGTTACTCCATTCTTCATAAAAATTTAAAGTTTCAGAGAATTCAATATAAAATTGAATAAATCATTTAAATTATATTCGCTAGCTAAATTTCAAATGCAATAAAAATTTTTGAAACAAATATTGAATAAATAAAGCAAACAAGTAAATCTACCAAAATAAATATGAATTTAAAAAATATTAGAAGTTATTGTACACCTGCAGGAAAAACTTTATTTTCGGAAAGTATGAATTTTAATACACATATGTTTATATATATAGAGATTTATATATATAACTATACAACATATGTTCACATTCATATACAAGCACAATAAAATATGCAATACAAAAAATTTATCTCATATAAGCAACACACTAACACATGAATTTTATGCAAGTGCATGAATGCCTACTGTAAATTTTATTTCGTTTTCCATAAGGATAAATGTGTGTATATATACATACATACATATAAAACATATTATTTTCAATTTATGATACGCTCAAAAATTTAAGTCATCATCCGTAAGTATTTCAATTCTAAATATAGGAAAATATTTTTATAACAATCACTACAATCTGCTCATTTAGATACTAATAATTGTTTTATAATACTTTATTAAAATTTTTAACATATAAAAAACATATTTTCATTATAAGTAATAGAAATTAAAACCTGTTAAAAAAATATAATTCATTAGTAGGTTAATAACATATATGTAAATACAAGTGTGTGTTTATGTATTTACATGCAAAAAATATATAAAAATATTTCCTAAAAATAGTTCAATAAGGCAATATTGCGTCATAACCAATAATAACGATGGAAGGGAAAAAATTAATACCAATAAAATTAGATATAAATTTGCCCAAGGCTAAAGCTACTGCATTAACATGATCGATTTTTTACGCGCAACTAAATTGCAATATAAATAAAATAGGGTTGCCAGATAATAAAGAAAATAAATTATAATAATAAAGTATAATAAATTATAATTATTATATATGATAATAAATTATAAAAAATATAAAGTTATATTGTTTAATTATTAATTGATGTATGTATATATATATATATATGTACATGTTTTTCAATCAAATTAAATTGATTAAAATCCCAACGTAATCATACATATACACACATACTATTTTAATTTATGATTTCTGACCAAATAAAAGTTAAGGGCAAGTGAAAAGGAATTAAATAATAATCATTTAAAGTAATACTTGATCTACTAAATTTGTAATTTAGTTAGAATTTTGTTAACAAACTAAATTGTAACAGTAACGGTTACAAATTGTAACATTATTGTCATTTATTCATTATTTTTAATATTGAAATTTTTTTTTAATTAATTATTTTACAAAGATATTAAACTTTTATTACAATTATAAGTATTATATCGCCCTAACTATCAAATAAATTACCATCGAAATGACATAGTTACATATATATGTATGTATGTATGTATATTTTATTTAATTTTCATGAAGTAGTTAGTATTAGAAATATTAATTTAAGCTCAGAACTATTTCAATTTTTTTTAGCAATCGTAATATGTAACAAATGTTTTAGTAAAGAATAATTTTTTTGGTTTATTTCATATTTCTGTTTATACATACGTATACTTGCACTTAATATTATTGATGCAATAAAAATTTGACGTCTGGTAGCTTTACATTTAATATAACATAAAAATTTAACTTTAATATTAAAATACTAAAACAAAAATATTGAAATATATAGAAAAAGAAATAAGATTTCAAAGTTTTCTCTTCATCATATGCACTTTAACAATAAATCTTTGTAAAATTCCAACAAATTTTATATTATGCACATACATACATATTTAAGTAAGTATATATGCAGACACATTTATATTCAAAAATGCATTTATAATCACTTCTTTAAAATATGAAAAAAAACCAAGCAAAAAAAAAACAAAAGTTTCCTTAATTTTCTTTTCTAATCTAATCGAAATTTGACAACATTGCATGATTGGTATTTACTACGTACACAGGTATACACAGAAACATTTTAGGTGTTTATGTGCAGAAAGGTGTACAGGGCCATTGATGATGATGTATAAGGTAAATGCCGCCAATACAACGATAATTTCTCTATTTCTTTTTTTCTCAAATCTGTTTTTATATTAAAAACTTAAAGTTTAATTGCTTGCTTTTTCAACACACACACTCACACATGCAAAAACACAAGAAAAAATAAATAAATAAATTCGAACAAAAAGTAAGATGATAAAATTTTATAATATTTTTAAAGAGATTGAGAAAAAAAAATACCTGTTCAATCTCTAAAATATGCATACACGAATACATTTACAAATATGTACGACGTGTTTCTTTCAAGACTATACGTATATTAGTTAATAATGTAATGTATAATACAATCGCATTCAACATATTTTTACACAAAAATTTTAAACAGGTAAAATTCACTGTTTCTTACTAAGGTTTCATTATAAAAATATTAAGCATTTTACTTTAAAAGTTTGTATAGTAATAAAAATAAATGTATATATACTAATATTTACATTCGTATATGAATAAAGGTAAAAACATAAAAAATATACGAGTATTAGTAAATGAATGTATGCATACATTGAACAGGTATACAGCATTAATAAGTTGGTACACATTTGGTTTGCTTAAATTGACAGCTATGATATTGAGAAATAAGAATGCATATTAAAACAAGAATGTTTTCTTTTTAAAATAATCGCTTGTATGAAAATGAATTTAAGAATAAACATATACCTCCATACATACATACATTATTATTAAATCGAAATTTACATCAAAAATTAAATGAATTAAAACAATTTAAGAAATTCTACTTCCTCTTATTTTGTTTAAAGTCAAATTAAATTCAGTTCTTTTATGTAAGATGCAATATATAAAATTAAAACATTTTAATAACTGAAATAATATTGCGAGACTTTCTGATCAATTCATATTAATTTTGAAAAAACCTTTATACAGAGTTTGTCCGGTGTTGTCAATGCAGACGTGACTTACATATAAAACAATAATTTAATACAACCCTATGAAAAACAACTAAAAGTTGTTAAATAATGTAGAAAATCAATGCGCAGCCCTAATTTTCGGTTAAAATTTTAGTTTCGAGAGCTTAGCAGTATAATGTTCGCTGTTCGATTATTGTAGTGCTTTATTTTTCTTCCTAAGAGGTTAACATATTTTTTGGTTTTTTGTAATAGTACATTACAAAATTTACAAAATTTGATATTGGAAAAATTAAAAACTAACTTCGCACTAAAGCTCGCACAAAGTTGTACTCAAAGCAACAAATACTTGATATTAACAAACAATTAACATCATGAAAATTATTGGGTGAAAAAATTATATTCCAAGTTACACAAAACTGCTATATGAACTAGGTTTTTCTAACAGTTTTCACTCATGTTTCTTTATAGCTAACGTACTCGTATTATTAAACCAAATTAAGGAAATATTTTATAACGTAAATCTGTTAGTTATGAAAATTTTTAATTTTCTAACTGGCTTAAAATTCTATCATGCAGTTTACATAGGGGAACCATATAGAATATAATTTGTTCATAAATGTGTAGATGGCAAATTTTGTAATTTAACAGAATTAACATTAGAGCTCTGTTGACGCAAATCTAAAAATCTTTGTTTAAAAATCAAATTATGAAATTTCTGCAATAAACCTTATATGTTCAAATAAATCATAAATTCTAAATAAATTATACAAACTGCAACTAAAGCCACATATTAAGTATACGATAAGTATTATTAATAGTAGACTGCTTGGCATCGTATATATAAAAGTTTTATTAACATTTAATGCTATTAATTTATAAGTTAAATGATTTGCAAAAGAATATTTTTATATTTTTTTGTAAACCACTTTTGTTGAATAGTATAAAATTGTACTTGAAGTGAAGTTGTATGAATAATTAAAAAAAAAAAAATTTATATAAGAATTTTAAATTTACATGTTCAACACCTTTTCTCAATTTTGAATTCATATGAGAAAGCTTTTTTTTCAGATTTTATCTAAATTTTTTTTATTGAAGTTATAAAATATTAATCTATAGATAATATTTTTTTACAAACAAGAACGTATAAATCAATTTCATGTATGTATGCAAGTAAGTTCGTCATAATTTTATACAACATGTAACAAGAATTATTAAATTTTCTTTCAAAAGCCTGTGTATATATGTATAAATACGTATATAAGCGCGGCGTAAGAACAGGCAGTTGTAAGCATTTACATTCTAATTGCACATATAACTTTTTCTACAAAGCTTTTTAATAATAGTACTTATCTAAAGAATAAAATTAAGATGTAGGAGTAAACAACTTATAAGAAAACAAGGTAAAAGAATCAAGCCACCTACCTTTAATATACAATGTCCAATAGCTTCATTCTCTGCAACCGATACATTATAAAAACTGTGTTCGAAAATTGGTTCATTATCATTAACATCATGAATTGTAACTAAAACCGTTGCCGTAGAAGATAAGGGTGGCTTTCCACTATCCTTAGCTACAACTGCTAACTTTGGTACTGGTTCTGTTTCACAATCGATATGAGAACGAGTTGTTATTAATCCAGTAATGGAATCAACTTGAAACCATTGTGAATGAGTATCAGGTGTCTCAATTAAAGAATATGATACTGCTGAATTAGTTCCTTCATCTTTATCAACTGCAACTACTTGAATTACAGAGGTCCCTGGATCAGCGACCTCCATTACATTAGCATAGTAAATTTCTTTTTCAAATTCGGGTGGGTTATCATTTATATCCATTACTCTTAAATATATTGTTTTTGAAGCATGTAAAGGTGGATTACCGTTATCGGTTGCAATAACACTCAGAGTATAATTTGGAGTACTTTCACGATCTAATGGTAAGGAAACTATAACTAAATAAATTATATTATCGCGTGTTGTTAGACCAAAACGACCATCACCACCAGTTAAAGTTACATTTACATTCGAATATTCCGTTTTCGAATCTGGATCATTAACAGATATTCTAGCTACAAATTCGCCTGGTTGCGCTGATTCCGATATTTTTGGTGTAGCATCATCACTCAAAAAAATAACATTTATTGTAGGCTGATTATCATTGACATCCGTAACACGAATAGAAACAAAAGCTGTCGTTTCTAAAGGTTGTTCACCGTGATCTTTTGCCACAACAACAAGTTCATGTAATTCTTTTGTTTCAAAATCTAATGGTTTATTAACAGATATTAAGCCTGTTGTTGAATCAATTCGAAACATTTGAACCTTATCACTTTGTCTTCTATTAATTGAATATTCTACCAAACCATTTTCACCAGTATCAGCATCAGAAGCATATACTTGTAAAACACTAGTTCCAACCGTTGAATTTTCCGGTATAGTTGCAAAATATCGCGACTGATTAAATATAGGTGGGTTATCATTTACGTCCTGTATAGTTATATTAACGGTCATATGACCTTTCAGGGGTGGATTTCCACCATCTAGTGCCTCAACTACTAAACTGTAAGCTGGTATTGTTTCTCGATCTAGAAATCCATTAATTTGAAGATCTAAATATAAAACGCCATCACTTTCCCGATGCGGTGACAATCGAAACGCGTTATTTACATTACCGGACACGATATTATAACGTTGCGTATTATACCGACCTAAATCAGAATCTTTCGCCGGTTTTAATGTATGTTTAACGTCACGCGGAGTATTTTCCGGAAACTCAATATTCATAACCTTATACGGAAATGTGGGAGCATTATCATTTTCATCGAGTACATTTATAATTACACGAATATTTTCGCCACTACTTGGTACTGCAACAAAACTATATTTATAATGTGTTTCGCGATCTAATTGAATTTTAGTTCTTATTTCACCAGTACTTCCATTTATTTCAAAATCTGTAACCGAATTGTTGTCTGGAACGTGGACAATATAATAAGGAGGTCCACTTACAATGCCTGGAATATTTTCACCGATTTTTCCAATATAATGACCAATTGGTACACCTTCAAGCACTTCCATTTCTTGAATACGTTCGCTAACGGCAGCTGATGTAAAAGTTGCAATTGTTACTAACATTAGCCATGATATCATTAAATTGAGAACGTTTGAAAAAACTCTCATCAAATTTTCTGTATTACTATAATATTTTAATTTTGTATGGTGGCTTTTTATCATTCTAATGAAGCACGCACGGCTTCGAAAATTTCTCGCCATTTTTTTTTGAGACAATCATGTGGATGGTTGAGAACAAACATTAAAATGCTTCTTGCTTAAATAATATAGAAAATATTTCTAACGACGCTCCTGATTAAACATATTAAAAGAAATTTAATTTATTTTCCAATGAACCATACGTTGAAATCTGAAACCATAAAATATAAAATTTTGTTAAAAAATTATTTAAATAAAAAGGAAAATTAATGTTAATTGCAATATATTGTTATTTGTTTGTTCGACATTATATATATACGTAGCCTATGTATTCAGAAACTTGAAAGGAAAACTTTTAATCTTATTTTTATTCATATAATTTTACAACTTCAATGAAATAAGCTACGTAATCAATAATATCTTGCGCCGCAAGTCATCAATCACAACTTTATTCGAGTCCGCTACTTATAACCAGGCGTGAACCTTTAAGGTGAAGGTAAGAAGGGGTAAATCTGGCACTGAATATTAGCTTTACCTAAATATATATATACAAATAGCTCGCGTGCATGGTAGGAAAATTGGCGTTCAGTTATTGGAAACAAATTTACTATAAGAATAAAATGGAACAAGATATTTTAAACAAATATTCAAAGAATTACATATCACAAAATTAAAAGAATTATAAATATCGAATGAAAATTATTGTTATTTAAGTTCGAAAAAAATTGGAGTATAAAACGGTGTTGGAATTCCAATTTCAAATTGCAAAAAATATCAAATTCTTATTCTATTTTGCAAAAATCTCGCGTAGAGAATGTTTGAAATAAAACATAGAAAACAGTTTTAAGTGTATTTATTGCATCATTTAAATACTACATTGCTTATAATAATATAGATACTGATATGAGAGAAATCTGGTATGTCGAATTATCTGATTTTCATAAATTAAAACTAAAAATTTTTAGTTTTGGAAGTTTTGATATTTGTTTAAAAAGATTCTAAAGTTTTGAATAAAACATTTAAGAACAAATTAACCAAAGCACTTAAAAAAAACCAAGCCTTCAAAGAATATCATTTTTAATAACTACTTAACCTCATTTATTTTAAGATTCTTCAACGACAAGAAGTATTTTTCTACATAAAAAATCTTAGTATTGACAATTTCGTCTAAAAATATGGTCTCCCTACCGCATACAATGCGATCCCTTTATTGTATGTGAAATTTTTTAAACAATAATACTAAATTTTGAACAAACACTTCCATCTTTAACTGATATCGGCTTTTTAATCGTTATGTTTAATTATAGTAATTTCGAAAAGTTTACTTTAAATTTTAATGTAATATACCGTTATTGTAGAATAAAACTCTTGGTTAAGTTATATGGCGCTTATAATTATAGTGAATAAATAAAAAGTCAACAATATAAAATAATCATAAAATAAAAAGTATTTGACCGGTCATTTAATTAAGTAAATCTCTCATCTTAAACACTCATAAAACCAATAAATACGCGCAGACACAAAAAGTAGTTTTTTACGTTCTTCTCATAAAGTTATACATTATTTCTTTGAAAAAAAATATATAATACAGAAATACATACATATTTGTAATTTAGGTTTTAAAATTTGACGCAAAAAAAAAAAAAGAATTTTCATGACAAATTTAAAGAGCCTTAAAGATTTAACCATTTCCTTTATTATTGAACTATGATAACTATTCGTTTGTTTCAATATGAAACACTCAAAAATGCAATTTTTATACTAATTCAAAATATTTTCCAAGTAAATATAGAACCATGCAATTTAACTAATAATTAGCAAAAAATAATATTAATAATTCTTTCCTTATAGAAACGAAATATAATAAAGTTTTCCTTATAGAAGCTAAAGTTACACATTAACCCAATAGAACTTTATTTAAGTGATACCATAATCAATTCTGCCAGGTATTTCAGCAGTTTCAGTCGAAATAAATCCATGGAACGATCGATTATAGATCGGCCAACAGTTGATAACAATTCGGTAAACAATTGATAATTTAAACTAAATCACTGCGCTCAATACAATAACAATTGTATTGTGATGGCACCAAATTTCACATAATTTTATTTTTTTTTTAAAGAAAACAGTGACGTCTTTTCTCGCAAAGAAAAAGAAAATTTGATTTCAAAAAACAAAATAAACGAGATGGAAAAGTTCGAAATTTTTAAAAACTTTATAAATAAAGTTATAAACGTCAAATTTCTAAATATTTATCAAACATTAACAGTACATACATATATAAAGAAGTTTTTCGAACACCAAATTTTACTTTCCAAAACTTAAAAAAACTATAAGCACTTTAAACACGAAAACTTTATAAAGTTTTTAAACCTTCCTTATACCAGACAGACTTAATATTTAAGCTGTGTTTTTTTTAATTTAAAATAAGTGTTCAGAAGACGTTCTCATAATCTCGCAACACTTTCCCTGAACTAATAAAAACAAATTTATTGGAACTTATGTATTTTTTTTTTATATATCCTTGTTGTTCTCCTAGGGAACATAGGGCTTCAGAATAGCCGCTCCAGGTTCTCTATTCTGTGCCAGTCTCTTTATTTATGCCCATGTTTTGTCTCTTTGTTCTATTTCTTTGTGCATACTTTTTTTCCAAGTTTCTTTTGGTCTTCCTACATTCCTTCGTCCTTGAGGAACTTATGTATATTATTAAAAAAATACGTAAGGTTAGTTATGTATTAATCGCATCACATATTTATTTTCTAGGACATTGAAACTTATCAAGGAATGATGAATTTAAAAAAAATATTAATTATAGTATAAATACCAAAACCAAAATGCAAAAATTAAATCAATCATAAATGCCTCCATGTAACTTGAATTTATTTTCAGAAGCGCTTGTATATCCTATACTTATGCAAAAAGCAAAATTGGAATTTTGAGAATAACAAATTGCAATGTTCTTCTAACATAACAAATCCGTATTAAAAGAAAAATTTTTGTACATTCCAAATCTGTCAATCTCTTTAAATTTTTAAAAAAATTCTATAATTTTAATTTGTAAATATCGAGAACTTATGGGGAAACCCTGTGACAAAGATCAATAACTTATAAAAATATTTTGTAGTTAATAGGAAAAAAAAAATTTATATCCCTGGTATTTATGATAATATTTTGCAGAAAAAGGCTTTTTATTTTTTCGAACAGAATTTGTGGAATAATTTTAATGAATGACAGTGACAATTTAAATGTTTAATTCACTGTTTTTAATTTTTTTCTAAATTTTAACATTTAGCTATTTAGCTAGTTATTATTATTGAAAAATTTTTAATTAACCTGTTGCAATTATTGAAAAATTTCACTAGTTTTTTTGATAATTCATAGATTTCGCACTTACTGAGAAAACAAACATTCTTATTGATTCCAATACAAATATGAAATTCATAAGTTATCATATCCGTTTAACGGTGAAAAATGATTATGACTTTTTATTTTTTTAAAAGTTTATCGAACTTTTTCACTACATTTAATGGAAAAAAATTTCGTGAAATTTAATGATAGTAGATCACTAAAAAACATTTTGTTTTTACAAATAAAATCTCTTCAACTTTTATTTTATGAAAAATAAAATTAAATAAATAAGTAATAATAAACTATTATTTAATTAAAAACTAGTTAAAATGAACTGAATTTATTAGGTATTATAATGGCCTACACTTCAAGAGATCAAATATATTGGCGAATTTAAATTAAATATTTAAGAGAAAAATAATTGAATATGAAGAAGTTAATTTTTGAATTGAATATTTTTGTTTTCTATTTTATTTGATTTATGTATAAAAAAATACATATGTAATATATATTTGCCAAATTTTTATAGATACATAAGTAGTAAAATCAGTTATATTGTTGATTCAAAAAAAAAATTTTTTGCTTGTTTAATTTTTTTTTCGACTTTTTTCGTTTAGAATACACAATTTTGATCAGATATATTTACATAAATTATAATTAACCTTTCGTTTTTTAACATTTATACGTAAATATTTTTAAGCATAGTATTAAAAATAGGCATTTATATATGCGTGTATGTATGTTAATATGAATTTATTTAGAAATTAAATATAAGAAACAAAAGTATAGCTCTTTCTAAAACCAAGAATTTCAAGAATTATCAACGAACGTATCAAGTACTTTTTAGTTGCAAAACAAAATTTTTGTAATTTAAATACTTCAAATATTTTAATATTTTTCGCATTTTTCATCCTAAATAAAATTATCAAAATCTTTAAGTCTTATTACATTTGCTCTATATATACGTCTACATTACATAAGAGTTTTATTTGATTTGAATCAAAAAAAAAAAAACTCGAACTTATCACAGAAAAAAAAGAGGTTCCTTTTCCCTGCATATATGTAACTGGGAACGTTCGGCTGAAGCGAAATTGGATAAATGTGGGGAGGTTGACCCAAAGCTAAACAGAAAGTTTTCGACATTTTACACCCTTACTGCGTCAACCATAAAACTAACAGCCATAATTTATCATCTTGAATTACTTAAAATTCCTTACTTATTGTACCTACTTATTTACTACAAAAAATAAATTTCTGATATTTTTTTAAGGCACAAAGGGGGTCCCTTTTCTATTACAACTTTAAACCTCAATTTCGGTTATTTAATAACACATAAATTAGTTTATAATTATTTTTAATAAATTTTATAATATATTTTATTATTTCATCAAATTCCTAAGAATTGTATGTATGTATGTATATAAAAATTAAAATTATAATTAAAAAAAAATACATGTATATGAACATACGTATATGCATAAATGTATATATAGGTAATTAAGAAGATTTTTTTTTGTCTAAATAAAATTTTGTTGCCTATCTATTAAATATTTCAATTAACTTAAAATACACATACATACTTAAGTTTGTGTTTTTTTTTTCATCTTCTTTTTATTGTTCAAGTTCTAAACAACTTTTCTGTCAAAAAACTAATTAAGTTCAGATAGTTATAGATATGTATATATGTTAATATAGCATACCTATACATACCACATATCTATATACATTTTACGCAATTATGTCGAATAATTTATACGTTCATCTTTATATATGTATATATGTATGTATATTATACATATTATTCAACT